AAAGTCAACGTTCGACGAATCAAAACCCTAGGGTGGACGCCGGTCAACGCGTAACCCTAGGTCAACGCCGGTCAAAGCGTTGCGACAAAAAGCCAACACACGGGGATCCGAAACCCTAAGCCAGCACAATGTGGCGGAGGTAATTCAAAGTCAACTCAATGACAAGAGCCAAACTCAATTCACCAGCTGCAGACTCGAGACTCTGACGACGGCCAAGCGATAAACGCAATGCCGGAAAAACTTCGGCTATTCGTCAAAGCATCGAACAGACCGAAAATCGAAGGAGCCAAGAGTTGAAGCTAACTACAGGTCCTGATGCCGACTGAAGGCTAGACCAATCACATCCAAAGTATTCCGGCCTCTTCTATAAAAGAAACGAGTCCGGAACACTTTGGAGGGGGTATCTGTAGGCATCAAAAATTGCCTATAGTTCTCCACAACCGGTTCAGTGTTAATGAGCGACAATGAACATCCCCATCCGATCCACATGAGCCTAATCGACGTCGATGAACGATTGAAGTGAATCGACGAACTACGTGAGCTGATAGGATTTCGGAACAACGAACCAAGACACCCCAGGGGTGTCTCGGCCAAGCCGAGACACCCTAGGGTGTCTCGGCCTGGCCGAGACACCAAGGGGTGTCCACACCCCCTACCTACCCCCACTCACTCCATTTGCCTATAAATAGACCCCTTGGGTCCTCATTCAAGGGGCTGGAATTCTTTTGTCTTGGAGCAAGGCTAGAGAGAGAGGAGGGGGATTTTTGGAGAGCTTGGCGAAGCCCTGCTGCAGTGAAGAGTGCCCGTGAGCTTCAACAAGAGGAGGAGAGGTCTTGATCAGAGCCTTCATCACCCGTCCGAGCCTTAGTATTAGCTTTTAGCGTTAATACTAAGAAGAGCTAATACCTCGCTTTAGCCGAGGTATACGCTTATAGCTTCTATATCCCTTAGCGGATAGACGAAGCTCTGTCCGATATTTCTGGGTTAGAAGTTTCTATATCCCTTCGCGGATAGACGAAACTCTGTCCGATTTATCCGGACCAGATCTGAGTGCCCCGGTGGTCCACGGATATCAACATCCCCGTCACAGGCCAAAGACCCACGCAAGCAAGAGATGACAAACAGCTCTTGTGTTTGTTTGAAAGGAGTTGCATTTATTTTGTTTTCATTGTGTATCGGTCTTATAAAAAGACTATTTTTTTATTTCATTGTAACGATCAAAGTTGTAATGAATGCAGCAATGAATACAGCGACTTTTTCCGCAAACAATGGTTTGAATCCTAGCCTGTAAATTTTTTTAAATGTTCAAGGAAAAATATATGTTGGGATGAGATTAGAACTCAATTCCGCTTGGATGATTGACGTTTAGCTCTCTTTGAGCTAACCGCTTGGCCAACTATAGCGACCATATCATATTGAACTCCTCGGGATTTAAAATCCCGTGGAGTTAGGCTAATTCTAAACTTCACAGGATTTAGAATCCCGTGAAGTTTAATTAAGGACTGAACTTCACGAGATTCTAAATCCCGTGAAGTTCTTCAACTTTATTCGCACATTTCGATCCAGTTTCAGCCACCTGGCTGAAACTAGATCGAAATTTAAAAATAAATCTGAAATTGGTCGATTTTTGAAAATAAATTCCTAAGTCGTTTGAATAAACTGGAAAGTGCCTTGGAAAATAGAGGCGACGTGTTCACACGATACACCGCAGGCCCATACCATCCATCAGACGGCCGAGACAGGGGCCGCCTGCTCAACACACGCCTGTTCCAAAAAAAAGCGAAAACCTCGCCGCCGAGGCTCGTTACGAACTACCGAAACTGCCCCTGACCCAATCATCAGCGAGCCTTCCAGAATCAAGGGTACTTTCGTGACTTCCCACAATATAACCTTGGACAGCAAGAAGCTTCTTTCTATTTTCCAAGAATCGAGCTTCTACCACTTTTTCCTAACAAAACAAAAAAACAAAAGAAAAACAAGGAAAAAAAAAAAGAGCGGAAACCCTAACCCTAGCCATGGCGTCGTTTGCTGAAGCTCCCCCCGGCGACGCGAAGTCAGGGGAGAAGATCTTCAAGATGAAGTGCGCTCAGTGCCACACCGTCGACAAAGGGGCCGGCCACAAACAAGGTCCCGAATCCCTCCGCCGAAACCCTAATTCGTTCGATCCGAGATCCGATCCGAGACTTTCTTCGTGCTTCGTTTTGGGATATCCTTGGATTTTTGTTGTGTGTTGAAACCCTAATAGCTTTTTTTTTATGGAAATTGTAGGTCCTAATTTGAACGGGTTGTTTGGGAGGCAGTCTGGGACGACTCAGGGGTACTCGTATTCTGCGGCGAACAAGAACATGGCTGTGATTTGGGAGGAGAACACTTTGTATGATTACCTGCTCAATCCTAAGAAGGTAATGCCTTTTTTTTCAAAAGTTTCATTTTTTTCTTTTTAGGGATTTGAGGAGAACATCATGAACATATTTGGCTACATTAAATTGGTGTTAAACGAAGAGAAGTGAATTAATGATACCCAGTGAGTTAACCCAAGACTTAATTTAGACTAATGTGAACACCTTTAATGAACACCTTTAATGTTAGAATATGTCATTTACCGTAGATTAGATTCATTACTATTTAAAAAATGGAAGAAAGAAAAAGGAAGAAAAAAGGAATGAGATAAATGGAAAAAAAAAATAAAGAAAGAAAAAAAGGGGGAAAAAGGGGCTGCTCGAGAACTAGACCAAAATTGATCACTACTGGTGCATGTTAGCAGTAACTTAGGAAACCAAGACTTTGCATAGATTTTGGATACATAGGCTAGTTGATATTATCTGATATTTGTTTGTCTATATATGCATGTAGTTCTACACGCACGCATTGATATGAATGCACGTAACATGTACTTGTCCATGTATGCATATATTTGGTGTCTGTAGTTGGTGTCTTATGGGTTAGAAGTAATTTCGACTATAAATGTTGTACCCAGACTTCCTTGGTTCCTGTCTTGTTCACATGTTCTTCTAGAAGTAGCTACAAAGCTTTATAAGTTGAAAGAGTTTTCTGTTGACGTGAATCCATATTTGTTGATACATCAAATGAAGCTGTTCTTGTGATATAGTTGGCTCCAATTAATGATGAAAATGTTACCCTTGTTTATTATTGCATGATGTCCTAGAAGTATTAATGTGGATAGAAACTATAATTTGGGACTCAATACTAGTCTTGTAGTGTCGGGATTTAGTGCTTATATGTATGTATCCATGTAGTTTCTGGTCTGGTAGAAGTGGGAGATAAATACCTTGAGTTGATATTATATTTTTATTCTATGTACTTGCGTTGTTGGTCTCTCAACTCACTTGTTTTGCAGTATTAGCTAAAAACATTGTGGTCTACATATCTACAGTCGACCATATAACCTTACCCCTTGAATCTTGTGCCATAGTGGAATCTATCTTGATTGTCGATGATGATAAAACAGTAGATATCCTTTTATATTGTTATTAACATGGCTAGATAGTATAGTTTAGTATTTCAATGCTCATGTCGGGTTCTCTTAATTAATGTTGTCATGTGTTTATCAGTTTATGTTAGGTTCTAGATTGTTTTGTGTTTGGTTTGCTCTATGGAAAACTAACATGGCTGGATAGTATAATCTAGTATTTCAATGCTCATGTCGGGTTCTCTTAACATAGTAGATGTCAGCCTGCAGGCTTACCTGCTGCTTTTTCTTTTTTGTGTTTGATTTGCTCTCTATGGAACACTAAGCTGCATCATTTACATGCTTTTGGCTATTAGATTTCTTCCTCATTGGCTGCATCAGTGTTTTACTGAGAAGTTGTGACAAAGACGACTGAATGATTTATATCATCTTTGTTTTGTCAAGAAGATAAAAGAAAGCATGGTTACATTTTGATGTTAAAATAAAATAAACTAACATAAGATGGAATCAACAAGCATTCTTGTTATGTTGCCATTTAGCGCGAATACTGTTATGTCATCAAAGCTAGAATGCTTCTCCAACCATAATTCTTCCATTTTCTAGCACATCCATTGATTTTGGTTGACCATGTCCAGTTGTGGAAAGATGCCCTGCTATCCTCGATTAGATAAATGTTTTCATCTCGACTTTCTCACATTATTGTCTGTATACTATGCTTCTTGTCACTCATTCCTAAACCTTCTTATTGGAAAGTGAATCTTTTTTCCGTATTCAAATGTGTCACCTAGCCATTTCCTTTGTTGTTTATAATTTCTACAGAAATATTACCTTTTTTTAACTATAATCTATTATTTGGTCTTCCCTTGTAGTCGTTCTCTCAAGCTGCTAATGGTTTGGTCTTATCAATATTAAATGATCATTTCTCATCCTCTATTCAAGCAACTTTGGGCCTTTTTTGCAAACGCTCATTTGTTATCTTATATTTGTTGTCTCTCATCCATCTGAATGTGCTTATCTTATCGCCCAACATTGCGGATGCATATCCATCTGATTTCCCCTTTGACCCATTCCATGGTCACTTATTATTGTTAAACCACCTATACAAAAAAGTTGTACTCCTCAAACAGGGTTTGCAGGATTGGCAATCTTTATTCTCACTTTGTTAATCATACGCAACAGAGTGGGTTTTCTGCTGTCTTGTCATAAGAGACTGCAGGCACAATATTTTATTGTCCAGGAGGCACTTTGTTTGGTGAAGCTATTTAATCTATAGTCAATATAAGAAGTGTCAATATGTGGGATTTAAAATTTTCATTGGTTATGAGCTTTGCACGCCTGATGTGGATGGTATGATACTTTTATGATTCAATCGCTCATACATTCAATTTTAATAGATTTAACATCAACGCTCTGTGAATGCTAAAAATATAAGTATTCCGATACATGTTCAGTGCAACATACAAGTATCCTTGCTATAGATAGTTTCAAGTCGGACAAGATTTGCTTTCTTTTTGTCCCGTCATGTTTGTATCGATTGGGCATGTGCATTGAAACTGCTAGGCTTTCTCCCCCTTTTTCTTATAGAACAAGGTATTGTTTCCTGAGAATGGGGGCTAGGGTAGTAGGGTTCTTATTCATAGAACACCAACTAGATGAGATAGACCAAAGAAGATGGGTTGGCGATAGGGGAATTAGATACATGATATTTACCTCTGCAACAGAAAGTCTTTCACAGAGCTGATAAAGGAAAAAGGATTGATGTAGTTGATTCAGTTATTCTGAATGGTGTTGAACTTATAGAACAAAAGGTGCTGTCTTTTGAAATTGGACCTCAGGGGGTGCTTGGCAACCTGAAAGTGAATTGAGAGTGCGTAAGTGTATCCACAGCACATCAGCATGCAAGTGAAACACATTTGTTTGCAGAACAAATTATTATTGAAACTAGAATAGTTAGTATGATGTGGTAGTATCATTTTATTTAATTATTTAAAAATCATATTATACTCTAAAGGATTGTTAATAAAGAAAACATTTTAGTTAAGGGTAGTCCCCAAGTTTCCACTTTTAGGATGACTTTGGGCTCTTTCATGCAGTAAGGAAACTATGTGCTTATGTTATGTGCCACTTTCTTTTTTGTTTCATTTCTCTCACAGATACTTTCAACGAAATAAACATCTAAAGTGCTAGAAGTGTTGCTTTCAGTTTTCGCTTTTGTGCAAACAGACACACCTCCATGCCCAGAGATGAAAGATACATTATTTTTTAAATATTTCATTAGCTATAAAAGTTTGTATGGAGTTATGATCATTATTAGTTGGATGCACACTTCACTCTCTACATGTCTTCTATGCATATCATATTCCTAGCATAAGAAGTTTTTTTTTACAATATCTTGCCTTTCTCTAAGTTTCCACCTTTCTCGTTTTTTTGACCTTATGCTTTGTCCTATTGTGCATTAAGTCATAATCTGTACACATTTGCTGGTTTCTCCTTAGGAATTACCAATCTGGTTATTCTCATTTTACCCCAAATAT